ATGAGAAGGAGTTAGACAGGCAAAGAGAGGCCTAAGGTATGTTCTTCATGGAGGAAACAGCATGTGTGGAAGACAGAGAGAAAGGGAGAGAGAGAATGGCAGGGAGCTGAGATCGCGCCACTGCACTCTAGCCTGGGTGACAGAGGGAGACTGTCTCAAAAATAATAAGTTAAAAAAACATCGTTAGGCTGGATGCAGTGGCTCACACCTGTAATCCCAGCAGTTTGGGAAGTGGATCACCTGAGGTCAGGAGTTTGAGACCAGCCCGGCCAACCTGGTGAAACCCTGTCTCTACTAAAAATACAAAAAATCAGCTGCGCGTGGTGGCAGATGCCTGTAATCCCTGCTACTCAGGAGGCTGAGGCAGGCGAATGCCTTGAACCCGGGAAGAGGAGGTTGCTGCAAGCCAAGATCCCGCCATTGCACTCCAGCCTGGGTAACAAGGTGAAACTCCATCTCAAAAAAAAGAAAAAAGAAAGAAAGAAAAAGAAAAAAAAGAATGACTGCATCTAGAAATAGAGAAGATTAGATATCCTGATTTACCGCCCTCCCTCCTCCCCCCACATATTACAAAACTCTCGGATGTGTTAGAGAAAATGGAGCAATCTTTACTTCAAGTGTAGAGCTGATGCCACAGAAACATTACGGGCAATGCACAGGGGCCAAGAGTGAAGAGGAAGCCAAAACACAGTGCCATAAGGACATGAGCGGACACTGCAGCTTCCCCGAGCCAAGGTACTGTTCTTGCTAACATAGCTTTTGGGTTTTAATGACCATGTGAGGATGAGAGAATGGAGAGAATGGTGTTAGAACCATTGTTGATAGGGAGTTGGAAACAAAGATGAACCTGCGTATCATGTAATTTTTAGTTATACTATCCTTATGGTCCAGGATCCCTCAGCCTGATAAATTAATGTTAAATGTGCTCCCAGTCTGGTGAGACCTTAGGCCATCTGCCTGACAGAAGCAAACACGGAAGTTCTCTAGAGGGTCGCTCTCCACAGGACTCCCACAAGGCCCTGCCAAATAGGAGCTCAAGTTTCAAAATCACAAAATAACGCAGGAAGAATCAATTTCCCGTGAGCAAGAGCTGCAGCAACAACAAACAGCATAATTAAACCCCTGGGAATGATGGCTAATAGGATTATCATATAGAAACTAAGAGATAGTGTGTTTAAGTAAGAGACATGAAAAAAGACATGCAAAAATAAGAAGAAAGCACAAGATGGTATTTTTAAAAGACAGATGTGAAAACAATCAAGGAAAGCTTCTAGAACTGGACAATATCGTCATTGAAAAGAAACATCGAATATACAAGTTAAGCAGAACATTAAACTAAAGAGAGACATAAAGATATGGAAGATAGATCTGACAGAATTATCCAGAATACAGCACAAGGGAGTATAAAAACGGGGACTATGAAAGAGAAGTTGAGACGGACCTAGAAGGACCAACATACATCTAATGGATGTTCCATGAGAAGAGTCTAGAGAGAATATTTAAACGCTTAATGGCTGAGAATATATCAAAATTGCTGAGAGACATAATAGATTCAGGGAGCACAAGTTTTCAGCAGGATTTTTGAAGAAATAAATCTATAACTAGGCACATCATAGTAAAACTACAAAACACCAAAGACAAATCAGGCAGGGAGGCAATGCACAGTACCATCATGGAATGGAAATTGGACTGAATGAAGACTTTGCCAGGAATAATAGAAGTCAGGAGGCAGTCTGGAATTATATACCCAGCTACCCTATCATTCAAGAGTGAGAGAAACACAAAGATATTTTCAGACAAACATGGGCTGAAAGAACTTTTAAACAGGTGCCTCAAGAGAAAGATTGTGCCCAGAATAACTGAGATGAGGGAATGAATGGTAAGCAAAGAAACAGACTGAAATAAAACCCATTGCAAACCAACATACTTTAGCTGTGTCAATGCCGCAATTTAAAAGGCCCTGGTGGACTGTTGACAGAGAGTCGTTTGAATCACCATCCACTGAATTTCTGTCCCTGACTTAAGTCAGTTTATAGACCTAGAGGCCCTTAAATGAAGAGAAAGTCATGGAGCAAACGTCAGTGTATGATGTGAACCTTCGTTATAGTACTTCTCCAAGGGGCTTGCAGCCAGTTAGGTACATAGGCGCTGCAGGAAAGGGAAACACCCAAACAGTTAGTCATTATTGGGTATTGAGTCTAAGCTAATACTAACGGCTTGGAATGCAGAATGCCACCATGGTCCATCAGCCAGAGGAAGGCTTATCAGGGTCAGATGCTGGATGAAATCTTGAACAAAGTTCATCTCACGGTAGTTTCTCTAGTTCCTGAAGGTATTTGTGGAGCACATGCCCCCAGGTGCATGCGCACATGCACACATTTTTCAGAAGCTGGAAGAATCTCCATGTTGCCTCTGTAACCCACCATGGAGTAAGAGCTAGTACGTTGCTGGGTGCGGTGGCTCACGCCTGTAATCCCAACACTTTGGGAGGCTGAGGCGGGTGGATCACCTGAGGTCGGGAGTTCAAGACCAGCCTGAACAACATGGAGAAACCCTGTCTCTACTAAAAATACAAAATTAGCTAGGCATGGTGGTACATGCCTGTAATCCCAGCTACTCGGGAGGCTGAGGCAGGAGAATTGCTTGAACCCAGGAGGTAGAAGTTGTGGTGAGCTGAGATAGCACCATTGCACTCCAGCCTGGGCAACAAGAGCAAAACTTCATCTGCAAAAAAAAAAAAAAAAAGAGCTATTATGGTAAGAAAGTCTAAGAAGTCACTGGATTTGCCCCCACCCCTACTTCCTACCAAGATATGAAATCCATAGAAATATCACATGCTTGTGGAAATATCAGGAATATCATGCCACCCAGAAAATAGTAAAAGACACAGAGGTAGTCATTTGTATCTCATTCCCATGCCAACTCTGGTCAGCACGAGACATGAATGGATTTTGGGGTGTAAATGTGGATTATCATAAATATAATCAGGTGGTGACTGCTGATTGCAGTTGCTGTCCCAGATGTGACCTCCTTAACGGAATAAATCAATACTCTTTTCTACATTCCAGCAAGCAGAGAACACTAAAAGCGCCTTGCTTTCCTTAGCATAGAAAATTCTATACACTTACTGTCATGTACAGAGATATAGCATTTTTTCCAAGTCTGAGCTCTAGTTTAGTCTTTGGAGATTTTAATCCCACAACCGTCCACTGGGAATTACTCCAGTCCGCTCTGTTGATGACATCATGCTGATAAGACCTAGGGAAGAGAAGTGCGGGTACGCTAGATGTCTTGGAAAGACTCATGAGGTTCTGGAGACTTTGCGTTCAATTCTTTGAAATCACAGACGCCTGCCACCTCTGCGAAATTGGGAAGGCTCCACTGACTTGAGGAATGTCAAGATATTTCCCCAAACGTGGAGGACAAGTGGCTTCAGTTTCATCCCCTACCAGTAATGAAGCACAGTGCTTGATGGGCCAGTTTGGATGTGAAAGATAACATTTGCCATATTTGTGTGTCCTTCTCCAACCCATTTAGTAGGTAACAAGAAAAACAGCCAGTATGCAGTGGAGCCCAGGGTAAATGAAGGCTCTCTGATTGTCCCAGGCTGCAGTTCACAGATCTGCCACCAAGCCCTTAGGACCCAAGAGATCCAAATGGTGCTTGCAATGTCTGTAACAGGTCATGATACCTCATGGAGCTGGGAGTAATCCCTGTTGAGAAAAACATGTCAGTGAATCCCAGGGTTGGAGCGAATCTATGCCTTCATCAGCAAGTAGCTATTGTCTTTTTGAGAAACTTGTTCCTAGCTTGCTACCGGCTCTGGTAGAGACTGGCCATGAGAAACCAAATTGGCCATGTGATCTGAGCTGTCCATCATGAACTGGGTGTTGACTAATCCACCAAGCCATAAAAGTCTAGCGTAACCAGTAGAACCCCATCACCAAAAGGAAATGGTATACACGAAATTGTGCTTTTATTCCTCCCCATGCCGCCACCTGTTCTTCAACCCACACACATGGGTTCATCGGGAGTTTCTCATGACTTGGTGACTGGGGGGGAAACTCTGTAGCCTGGTTAAAAGAAGGGTTCTGCAGGCCTGGCACACTGACTCATTCCTGTAATCTCAGTACTTTGGGAGGCCGAGGTGGGCAGATTACTTGAGGTCAGGAGTTTGAGACCAGGCTGACCAACATGGTGAAACCCCATCTCTACTAAAAATACAAAAATCAGCCGGGTGTGGTGGTGCACACCTGTAGTCCCAGATACTTGGGAGGCTGAGGCAGGAGAATCACTTGAACTCAGGAGGTGGAGGTTGCAGTGAGCTGAGATCGAGCCACTGCACTCCAGCCTGGGTGACAGACCGTGACTCTGTCTAAAAAGAAAAAAAAAAAAAAAAAAAAGAGGCTTTGCAGGACTTGCAGGAGCCAGGTGGAAATGGACTGCAAAGAGGTTCCTAATAATTAAGTGAAATACACAGGACTATCTGTGAAAGCCACTCAGCCTTTTTCCTGGTGTTTTGATCCACAGTGCAGTGAATACTCCAATACAAACAGATTTCTGTTGGTGTATATTCAAGAGAGTTCCTAGAATAGAGTTTTGCAAACTTTTCTGACAGAAACCCCAGGAAGAAATATCTTTTGTGTTGTGCCCTGGAGAACACAAGCATGCATGCCCGCATGCATTAAGCACACACATGTATGTGCCAGTAAATAACATTTTCATAAAACAATACTCACCCCAACTGCATGCAATGCAATCGGATATTTTCTATTCTATTTTCTTCCGGTTCACTTGTTTAATGTTGTCACAACTCACTAAAGTGACTCCACAACACATCCACTCTAGTGTCCTAGCTGGTAATTGAAAAATGTTTTGATATAAACCTAAAAGCGAAATTCTTGGACCTAGATTACTGGCATCTTTGATTTGACTCAAATTTTCTTTTTTCTTTTTTTGAAGGAAAATTTTTATTATTTTTTACAAAAAAATTTTACAATTTAACCCAGTTTTGTGGCCAGTTCTTTAGCCTTTGCCTTTTCAAGCTTGGCGATGCGAGCCACAGACTTGGGACCCAGGACATTGCCTCCCCATTGACGGCGGATCTCATCATATCTATTATTATAGTTTGTGCGGACAGCTTCCACCAGCTTAGAAAAAGCACCTTTGTCTTCCGAGTTCACGTGTGTGAAGGCGACAGTGGTGCAGGTCTTCCTGTGGACCAGACGTCCCAGTCTTGCCTTCCCCTTGATAAGGCAGTAAGGGACTCCCATTTTACGACACAGGGCAGGTAAGAAGACAACGAGCTAGAAGAAAGCATTAGTTGAAGAGCGTATTTTGACCAAAAGCAGTCGTTTCAAAGCTAGCTCGGTAGCAAGTGCTCAGGGTTAAAAGACTCAAATTTTCTAAATACCTATCTCAATTCTACTCTCTCAAATCATTATGCCTTTGCTCCACATTCTTATTAGCACTTGATATTTTCTATTTAGCTTTCTCTTTCTTTCTTTCTTCCTTTCTTCTTTCTTTTTTCGTTCCTTCTTTCTTGTCTGGGGTGAGGTGGCCCTATCTGGGCTCACCGCAATCTCTGCCTCCCGGTTAAAGCGATTTTCCTGCCTCAGTCCCCCGAGTAGCTGGAAATACAGGTGTATGACACCACAATAAAAATTTTTGTATTTTTAGTGGAGATGGGGTTTTGCCATGTTGGCCAGGCTGGTCTCAAACTCCTGACCTCGGGTGATCCACCTGCCTCAGCCTCCCAAACTCTTGGGATTACAGGCGTGAACCGCCGCACCCAGCATCACTTGTTCTTTTCTAAATGTGAAAACATTTGCTCATCTCTTTAGTGTGAAATTGTCTATAGTAGAAAAATATCGCAGTAGCAGAAGCAAGAGGCAGAGTCCAGTGAGGTTGCCTTTTTGTTTTAGGCTTTCTTGTTTTGTTTTTGTTCTTTGTTTTGGTTTTGGTTTTCATTCCTGGTCTTCTCTTCTTGTTCCTCTTTTCTTCCATGTTGGTTGATGTGATCGGTGTTTTTGGTTTTTAAAATGAGATCTACTGGAATATGCTTCAATGCTTCTGTTAATGATGTTGAGGGAGGGAGAAATGAATGGTTCTGAAAACTGTGTATTTGGAGGCAGAGAGGCAAAGGCTCAAAGTAATTGAGGCAGAATGGAAATCAAAGTGCACGTGACAGGACCAGAGGAGACGTATTTTCTCCCTTGTCACCGGAGGAGGAAGTTGGGTTAGAAGTAACGTGGGTTTCACATTTTGATGATGGGAAGATGAGGGCCTTTGTTTCAAGACAGACACAGTGCCCGTGCTCAGGAGTTTACAGTGCAGCAGAGAAACAGTAAGTAATTAGAAGTATGTGTGCCTAAAGTGAACATGGTGGCGTAGTGGCATTCAGTGAAGAATCTGACCTAATTGCAGGACTCCACAGAAGACTTGCTAAGAACGTGATGTTTAAGCTTCAACCTGAGTGATGAGGAAGCGTTACTGAGTCAAAGATTGGGCAAATAGTATACTAGGATGACAAAACAGGGAGCTTAAAGGAGTCAAGTGGTTGAGAAAGTAAAAGCATGTCAGTGTTGGTAGTGTAGAGATTGAGGAGGACGAAGCTGACCGGAAGCTAGAGAGGTAGGTAAGGTTGATGTCACGTAAGGCCTTACCAGCCCTGTAAAGAGTCTGCACTTCGTTACCACTTACATGGGAGGCCATGAGAGACTTTTAAGCAAGAGGACAGACACGATCAGAAAGGTTTTCTGTAAAACATTACCATCGTTGCTTTTGGAGAATGTGTCAGAGATGGGCCAGAGGAGATGTGGCCAGGACTAACTTTTAGTAGTCAGGAGACTACTGGTGACTTGGATCAGAGTAGGGGCAGCAGATGTGGACAGGTTTGAGAGACGGTTAGAAGATGGAATTGACAATGTGTGATAATGGAATGTTGGGATGTGTGTGCGGGGAGAGGAATCCAAGGAAACTCGTGTTTTTCACAGAGGCGAGTGGGTGGATGTTGTACGATTTACTGAGATGGGAGAGACTAGAAGAGAATCAAGTTTAGTGGAGAGGATCATGAGTTCACTTATGTTCATTGTGAGACGTGTGAATGAAATGTGTCTCAGCCAGGCGCGGTGGCTCACGCCTGTAATCCCAGCACTTTGGGAGGCTGTGATGGGTGGATCAAGAGTTCAGGAGTTCAAGACCAGCGTGACCAAGATGGTGAAACCCCATCTCTATAAAAAATAAATAAAGAAATAAAGAAGGAAAGAAAGAAGAAAGAAAGAAAGAGAAAGAAAGGAAGAAAGATGTGTCTCAGCTATCCTTTCGTCGGCAGGTACCATGAGACAAACCAATAGGATACACAAACAGGACTTAAACAAATGGGGCTTAAAGCTTTATGAAAAATGTCTAGATGAAGGTGATTGTTGGAACTGGTTCAGTGTTTTAAAATGTCAATGCTGACATCTCCATAATTTTCTTGACCTTTTTCTCATGATCACAAATACTATTCAAAACATCCAAGTCCAAGACAGGAAGACAGGAAAGGGGGAAAATGTTTTCTTCTTTTGAAACTTTGTCATTTTGTTCAAGAAGAAAAGATTCTGTTTATTATTTCCCTAAGTGGAGGCAGTTCTAGTGGCTTCTGTATTAAATTTCTCATAATGAACATTTTTTTCATAATCACACAGGTAGTTCTTAGCTACAGCGTTGCATGTAAGATTGCTTAGGAGAAAGACTAGACAAAAACAGAAGATGAGAAAAGAAAAATGATTAGGGAAATTTCTGAAGAGTTTTCACAGTTAACGATTGGCTGAAGTAAACATTTCCGGTAAAATGGTAGAAATACATTTTCAATCGAATGTTCAAAATAGGAGTGACCAACTGTGTGTTCAAATGCTGATAGCAGTAAATAAGGTGAAGTCTAAAATGTGGCTACTGAGTTTAGTAACTTGTTGGTTATTTGTGACCTTTGCAAGAGCACTTTTTATACTACTAGATGGCCAAACCACGCGGAAGTGGGTTGAGAAGCGTGTGAATGTTAGAAGATGAGGACAGTGTCACGTAGGACACATAAAAAACATAAATGTGGGCCGGGTGCGGTGGCTCACTCCTGTAATCCCAGCACTTTGGGAGGCTGAGGCGGGCAGATCACAAGGTCAGGAGATCAAGACCATCCTGGTCAACATGGTGAAACCCCGTCTCTACTAAAAAATACAAAAATTATTTGAAGTGAGAAACCCTAGAAAGATAAAAAAGAAAAAGAAAAAAAATACAAAAATTAGCTGGGCATGGTGGCGTGTGCCTGTAGTCCCAGCTACTTGGGAGGTTGAAGCAGGAGAATTGCTTGAACCCAGGATGCAGAGGTTACAGTGAGCCAAGATTATGCCATTGCACTCCAGCTTGGCGCCTGGCAACAAAGCGAGACTCTCTCTCCAAAAAAAAAAAAAAAAAAAAAAAAATCAATGTGCTTTAATATTCATGAAATGAGGCCAGGTGCAGTGGCTCACACCTGTAATCCTAGCACTTTGGGAGGCTGAGGTGAGCGGAACACTTGAGGCCAGGAGTTCAAGACCAGCCTGACCAACATGGTGAAACCCTGTCTCTACTAAAAAAAAATACAAAAAAATTAGCCAGGCGTGGTGGCATGGGGAGACCCTGTAATCTCAGCTACTTGGGAGGCTGAGGCAATAGAATCACTGGAACCCAGGATGCGGAGGTTACAGTGAGCCAAGATTACGCCATTGCCCTCCAGCCTGGGCAGCAAGAATAAAACTCTCTCTCTCAAAAAAAAAAAAAAAAAAACCAACAACTGATGAGATGAATTCAGCAGAGATGGTACATTTGCAAATACAGCAGCACAAGGGGATAACACAGCAAGATGCTGATTATGCAGGAAGGACACTAAGTGAGGTGATGCTTAGATAATAGGAGACAAGGAGAGACGCTTGGGGCCGATGGAGATAGATCATGTATTTAGCGGTAGAAGGCGAGTATTTCATATCTCTATGAATATGGAGATTTCATAAAATATGAAGTACTTTATATTATTAAGTATTCATTAAGTATCATACCATTATTCAGTCATATCACATAAGTATTCATCATTATTCATATAAGTATTCAGTATTATATCCTTAAGTATTCATTATCATATTATTAAGTATTCATTAAGTATGAAGTACTTCATATCAGTACTTCCTACCTTTTTGTGATGAAATGATATTCTAGTATATTAATATACCACATTTTTTATCCATTCATCTGTTAAAAGATATTTGGCCAGACAGGAATGGTGGCTCACACCTGTAATCCCAGCACTTTGAGAGGCCGAAGTGGGCAGATCACTGGAGGCCAGGAGTTTGAGGCCAGCCTGGCCAACATGGTGAAACACTGTGTCTAATAAAAATACAAAAAATTAGCCAGACATGCTCAATTGAACCCAAGAGGCAGAGGTTGCAGTGAGCCGAGATCATGCCACTGCACTCCAGCCTGGGAGACAGAGCAAGATTCCATCTAAAAAAAAAAGATATTTGGCTATTGTGAATACTGCTGCTAGTAGCGTTCATGTAGCAGCATTCGAGTGCCTGTTTTTAATTTTAGGGGGTATCTACCGTAGAGTGGAATTGTTTGGTCCTATGGTGATTATATATTTAACGTCTGGGGGAACTGCCAACCTGTTTTCCACAGCAGCTGCACCACGTTACCGTCTCACTAGCAACGTACAAGTTTCCAATTCCTCCACATCCTGGCCAACAGTATTTTCTGGGTTTGGTTTTTGGTTTGTTTTATTTTTTATTGTAGTCATTCTACTACGTGTGAAATGGCGTATCATTATGGTTTTGCTTTGCATTTCTCTAATAAGTAACGATGTTCAAACTCTTTTCATGTGCTTGTTGGTCGTTTTAAAAATATTTCTCAGAAAAATGTCTATTCAAGTCCTTTGCCAGTGTTTTGATTGTGGTGTTTGAGTATTTGTCATCAGGTTATAAAAATTCTTTATATATCATTGATACTAAAGCTTTATCAGATATGTGATTTGCAAATATTTTCTCTGTATGCTGTCTTTTAACTTCCTTCATAGTATCCTTTGATGCACAAAGGCTTTTAATTTTGACAAAGTCCAATGTATCTATTTTTTTTATTTTGATACTTGTGCTTGTGCGTTACCAAATCCAAGGTCATAAAGATTTATTCTTATGTTTTCTTCTAAGAGTTTTATTTTTTTTATTTATTTATTTTGAGATGGAGTCTCGCTGTGTCACCCGGGCTGGAGTGCAGTGGCTCCATCTGGGCTCACTAC